ACAGAAAGCAATCACGAAGTCTGTAAGATGTGGGCCCGGCTGTCATAGGCCGGGCAAGCAATGTTATACTGTCAGCTATCATTATGTGATAATGAGCAACCAGTCAGCTTCTGACATGAAGTAGGTCAGCTTGATGCTGACATCCGGAAGGATATCACAAGATATGAACAAGTGTTCATATCTGCAGGAACAGGAATAGGAACGAGTGGACAGTGTCCAGGTGATACATAATCAGTATTCCACAACAAGGCCCAATGTTTCAAAATGGCCAACATCAATGTGTGAAACAGTACAAAGGAAATCAATTTGTAATTTGTTTTCTTGGAAAATTTGAAAGTAATTTTAAAAAGCAGATTAGAGAATGACGTCCTTTAATGAAACATGTAATTCCTTGTTCTTAGTAGGTGGCATTAATTAAATGACATTCATTACCTCTAGTAGTGCTAGGTACTAAATTCTATTCAGACAAGTGGATTTAGGTGCGGATCAGATGCTTTATAAATGTACAAAAAATTGCATTTTATAATTACAAAAATATTTTTGATGAAGTCTTAGGTGTAGCTACAAGCAAAACAAAAACTCAAGCATTTCAAAACTTTTTTCATATGTTCTTAATATTCATCAATTTATTGATAAGATGATCTCACGGTTTAGTTTTAGACAATAGTGAAAGAAGCCATAGTCCTTGGTGCTCCCTTAGGTAGGCTTTGCCACAGTGAGCGAATTTGCACTAAAGATTTGTCTATTTCTTTAGGCAGGATATCTTTCCTGACCCAACTTTGGCTCAAACCTGAACAGTATTACAAGACTGCAGCACTGATCAAGTATACTGGCATATTTTGAAGATTTTAAACACCATCTTTAGCAGTGTTAGCAGTAGCTAGTGTTGACATTTGGTGCAAGATGATATCATCCAGGTTAGCTAACATTAAAGCTGCTAACACTGCTGAATGTGGTATTTAAAAATAAATTTAAAATGTGTTCATTGAAAGCAATATGGATGGTACCTGTGGTCCGGCAGTTTGAAGTGCAACTCAAGACACCAGCTGTGACTGCAAGTTTGATGTGTTGTAGCGAAGCATTAGCTGTGTTCAAGCGCTAATGGTTGCTAATGGCTGTGTCCAAATTCAGGGGCTGCATCCATTGAAGGCAAAATGTGTCACCTGCTTATGTCACTGTACTGCGCCAAAGTCTGTCGAAATACAAAAACTGCTTCAATCGTGGCCCTCAAACGTGTACTCAGGGATGGGTCCACATTTGGCAGATCCTTGGTGCACAGTTACTGTGGCAGATCAGCTTTGCACTCAACAACTTTGCACATGTTTTTATATGTACAAACCTTTAGTAGATCAGGTCCATAATGTCATGGCAAGATATTGAAATTTGCTGCATCACCAAAAGCAAGCTCTCCAGCAGAATGTCACAGTATTTAGCATCAAAAAAACTTCAACAACTTGTCTGTTATTTGACACTTTGAAGGTGATATTATAATGCATGACAGGATGATCTTCATGAATATAACATGGAAGGTGTTCCAATTTTAGTTATTTTCTAGTATGTTTTGATAAAAAAGGTAATTTATTCAGCAAGAGAAAAATAAAAGGAAGAATGAATTAATATTTTAGGATGCCTTTGAAGAAAATTATAGTTATTATAGATTAGTACTGATATTATAAACACCAGATTATTAGGGTTTCCTTATTTTATAATACTTTTATAATGTTTGATCTATTATGTGACAATTGAAATAATAGCTACATGTCCGAATTCAAATACAACACATAATTAAAAAGCTGTGTTAACATTAGGGTGAGGTCTTTGTCTGAATGCCTGTGATTCAGCCGTAGGCCAGCAGAGGGCGAACTCAGGCACTGAAGAATCGAGTACTGTATTTAAACGGGAACTTCCTGTTTTTCATTCAGTGTGGTTTTGACTTGTCTGCCGGTGGCATAATAAACCTCACTCACTCCAGAATTCTGGGTTGTATGACATTTATTTCCTATCACAGATCATCTTATTTAACACTTGTGTTTTCATCTGATTTAAGCCGATATTAAAACACGTATTTCTTACACCTTCACACCACATGTGGTGCTCAGGCTTAATATTTGTGGCTGGTTACAGGAAAACCAGCAACAAGTCTCCCCAGGGGTGTTTTGAGTTATTTACAGAATCTGAAGCTATCCAATGATGTTAAACACATGGCAATCAGAAAAAAATGAAGAGTATATGGACATTTGAATGTTGGTAATCTGCTGACAACATTACAGAGAAAACAGGCCTCAAAGTTTAAGAGGAATTGTCCCCACCAGAGGGCGCTTCCTGGGGGTGTTAACAATGGCTATTCATTTACATTAATTTGCGTTAACCCCGCCCCTTTCAGCTCTTTTTACTTTGAAAACAGCCTGAATTCATACACATTGTTAACCATTTTATAATCCCTATTCTGCTATTCAAAGCATGGGGTGGATTCATTAAAATCATTAAGATTGGAATGAGGGAATGTAGCTGTCCCAGTGGAATGGTTGCTGCTGGTTGGGTCAGTGGTTCCTGGGGCTGGAACCTGATCTGTTTGGTGTCACTTTCCATTGAAGACGTGGAAGATTTGTATATATTTGGATTTATGATAACCGGATTTCTGCTGATCAGCGAAGGCGGATTTCTGATTTATTAGAAAATGAAAGTGATCCTGACAGCAGTCCGGACCTGTGAGAAGCTGTTGGGCACAATGGATGGAATCGGCCGTACTGGAAACACACAGACTCAGATGCTGGGGGAGATAAGTCACAAACTGTGATTCTGACGAGAATGGCAGACCAGCAGCATGCCTCTGGAATGTAGGAGGGTTACACCTGGGTGAAGCTTCAGACGATGAGAGGCGGGAAGCTCACCAAATTTGGAACATTTGGTATTTTTTTCATCATTTTCAGAGATGCAGTAAAGACTGTAAAGCAACAAGAAGAATTAAAGCTGCAAGCAGCGTTGGCAGCCCTCACAGCTTGAGCGCTGCTTCGGCCATGTGGCAACTACGGGAGAGCTTGCATTACCCCAATTTGGCATTACACCACTCAAAACAGGCTAAAGCTGAGAAAAATAATAACCAATTGGGAGGATACCACTCAAAAGCAGCTAAAAGTAGGAAAAAACAATCGATAGGTTGCAAACCCCTAAAAATCATCTAAAATGGAAAAAAAAAATATATGAACCATTGGGTGGAAGCACCTGAAATACAGCTAAAACTGGAAAAACCCATAAGCGAACAGTAAGAAACCGCTCAAAACCACCAAAAATGAAAATACCATGTAAAAATGGCCTGGGAGGTCTGAAAACAACTCAAAACTGAAATTCAAAATGGCCGAGAAACCCTTCAAAAGCAGCTAAAATCGGGAAAAAACACAACTGATTGGTAGGATACCCCTTAACAGGTAAAACTGGAAGAAACCAGAACCGATTGTCATTATTATGTAATAATGTTTTAGTCAGCCTGCCACGGAGTTTACACACTGTTTAAAACACTCCACAGTTGAACTGTTAAAAAGTAAAATATGTTAGATTTTATACTGATCTACAGCTGGAGCTGCAAATTTGAGACACAAACCATTCATCTTTTTTCTGCACTTTGTAGCCATGTCATAAACTATATTAGAGTTATTGTGTTTATTTTAAGTCAAACTTCAAAGACAAAAATGTTTTCGAAGACACATTTATTCATGTTTATTATCTGACTTTGACATCAGATTTAAGAACGTCTTCGAGGCCTGACCTTCTGCAGGAAGTGAGATCATCACATCAGACGTCTCAAGGCAACAAAGGTCATGAGTCTTGGCAAGATGCATAATTGAGTCAAGACACAATTAAAAATCTTTGGCGCAAATGGAAGCACTTTTTGTGTCGCAGTTTTCATCGTTGACGTAATCTTGTCCTGAAAACCCAAAAAAGATTAAAAGTAGCAGAAATCAGACGTCTTGTAATTTTGTTGTTTTGAATTAAGAAAACTGCAAAGATCACAAAACACAAACTGTAGGATGCACTGTAAAAAATGAGCAGATAAAACCTCTAATGTATTGTTTCAGTTAAAGAGACGCTGTCTTTGTACCGTTCAGGTTGATATCCATGCAGTGCTCATTTCCACCTGCATTGTTTGGTTCTCCTGGACCCCAGTTAGTAAAGGTGAAGGGGGAACCATCGATCCACGTCCAGTCACCATCCTGTTAGAAGATTTCAAACAATCAAAAGACCTGTCTTTTCATGCTGCCTGTTTAAACTTTAGAGACCCCCAACACCAACTCTTAACCCGTACAGTATTGGTGCCTCCAACCCAGGTTCTGGTGTTGGTTCCTGTGGCTTTCTCAATGAGTCTCCTGATGAACCTGTACTGATCCGGTCCCTGAATGGAGGTCAGGTGTGCACCAAATCTATTGCAGTACCCCTGAGTAGGAAAATAAAAACACAATCAGCACATCTTCATCACTGTATGTGCACCAAGAACTAGTTATCCACTAACACCGCTGAGATAACGAGTCAAAACCACCCACTTCGGATGTTATCATCCATGAAATGGACGTTAATAGGCCGCTATCAGTCCCCTAGAATGGCTTCAGAATGTCCCGGCTGTGCCGCTTAGCAGGTTCCCCGTCCCATAGAATGGCTTCCGATTGTCAGCTGGTTAGTATAAGGCATAAAACCACTATCTGGTTAACATGAGGCATAAAACCACTATCTGGTTAATATGAGACATAAAGACTATCTGGTTAATATGAGACATAAAACCACTATCTGGTTAATATGAGACATAAAACCACTATCTGGTTAATATGAGACATAAAACCACTATCTGGTTAATATGAGACATAAAACCACTATCTGGTTAATATGAGACATAAAGACTATCTGGTTAATATGAGACATAAAGACTATCTGGTTAATATGAGACATAAAGACTATCTGGTTAATATGAGACAAAAAAACTCTTATCTGGTTAAAATGAGGCATTAAAAAACAGGTTAACATGAGGCAAAAAGCCACTAAGAGAAAATGTCATGTTAGCGCTAAAGACACCGCCCTCTGATGAATGTATAAAGTGGCCTTCTAATAGGGCAATGGATAGAGCATTGGACCACAGAATGGGAGACCAGGGTTTGAGGAACGCCACCAGGCAAGGACAAAAAATTTATTCAAATATATTTTTCTTAAATGGTTAGTTACACATTCGTTGTCATTGATATATTTACCCACTAGGGGGCACTGTCGGGACAGTCTGAAGGCTAGAAGGTACAGTAGAGATATTCTGAAGCCATTGTATGGGACTGATAACACCTAATAACATCCATTTCATGGACTGATAACTTCAGAATCCCCTGGTCAGAACTTAAAGTTTTACGCTTTAAACCATAAATAAGGACCAACAGGTCACACTAACCTCAGCATCAGCCCAGGATGTTGCAGTTGCTCTAAACAGGTAACACTGTCCTGCATACCGAGTCCATCCAGGAAGGCAGTGTGGCCGCGGGAGATCACAAGGGTCTGGGAAACATATGGCTACACAAACAAGAAATGAAAATATTAAACATGATTGAAACTAAGGCAGTGCCGTGGTGCAGCTGTTGTCTCTCAGCAAGAAGGTTGCTGGATCAAATCCCAACCAGGAAGCTTTCTGGATATAGTTAGCATGTGCTCTCTGTGCTTGTGTGGGTTTTCTCCATACTCCAGCTTCCTCCCACAGACCAAAAACATGCATGTTATGCAACCAGTTAACTCTAAATCTAAAGCCTGGGAGACATATAGCTACACACACAGAAGAAAATAATAAATGACTGAAACAGCTGTGGCACAGCCTGTTGAACCAGGAAGCTTTCTGGATAGGGTTTGCATGTTCTCTCCATTCATGTGTGTGTTTTCTCCAAGTACTCCATCTTAACTCTAAGTTTAGGTGAGAGAGTGAATGGTTGTTTATAAGCAGTGTTTATTTAGTTTTTCATGAATGGCCCAACACACAAAGATTGGTGGTCAAGAGGATGTCTGCTAGAAAATATTTTGAAAATTTAGCAGAAAAAACACCAACCTGAACGTGCATCACTAAATATCTGTGGATGTTTAAAAAAAACAACAACCCAGAATCAGATTTTGATCAACATATTTAATTTTAAAGTGGTTTGTAGTTTATTAATTTTATTTAAAATGTGAATTTGTTTCAAACCTACATTTCCTCCGATCCCCAGTCCAGAGAGGAGCAACATGAAGAGCAGAGCTGAAGAC